TGTTTCCCACACTTTTGTGCACCGATTGTCAATCAGCCACTGAAAGCAACCATTGTCAATCGATATTGGCGCTTTCAGAGCCAGTGTTGTCCCAATTCCAAGGTCATCGATTTTGAGGGGAGGACGGAGGGGAGACGAAGGGGGAAAGAAGATCCACTTCCAGCGGATAACGCATCTAAGGGCTTGATGCTTATCACTGGGACATAAAGTTGGAGGGCATTGTTTGTCCATCTGATAGGGGGAAGAGGATGAGGTAATGTCTTTAAAGATGTGTGGATTTGATAAGGGACTCACACACAACGCTCCAATTTCATCACCAAGTCATGCTGTCATTCAATTTTGTGCATAAACAATTATGATTATTGTGGCAAAAGGAGTGCATATTTATCCCTTAAATGTTACAGCACAACTGCAAGTATCACAAATTGGACTGTTGAATGTCATGCCAGTGGACGGGGAGTGCTACTACCACCCACGTTACAGATATTCTGGATGTTTATAATAAATCTACTTCCAGATGCATGGACTTTGTAAACTGAAGGCTAAGGCGAGGGTCGAGTGAAAATCATTAAGCAAAAAAAAAACCATTTGTAAAAGGGAATAGAAGGAAATTTATCTAAAATGGTGTGGCTAAGGTCGGAAACAGGAAAAAGTGAAGGGAAGCTCCCCAATGCGCGACGGTGGGGATCGAGAATGACGCTAACAGTAGATTGAGAAACAAGTGTGCAAAAGTGGAGGGTGAAAAGTAGGTGGGAACGAACGGCCTCCACTGTGCAACAGCAATTCCCCTTGTCAACCGAAGAACTAAAGTGAGACGATTTGAATGGACAGACGCCTGCATTCTTGCATCAGCATGAACACTAGGGTGCGTAAGAATCTACTGGACTCAACTGGATGGACGCCTATGACAAGTCAGTGCCATTTTGGTGAGAATTGGTTAGACCCTACCGCAAAACTAAAAAAACGAGGGGAGGTATTTTTTACCTTAGAACTACCAAGAGCATCGAGACTGGTGTGAACGTATTGACGGACCTTAAAATGCGCGGCCTAGGGGCTCCCAAACACAGATCTACAAACAACCTTATGTCAAACCAGAGGGTGGTCTCACTGTTTTTCACCATGGGAAAACTACCAAATCTCACCACTGGGTGGGGGAATCCTAATGGTTTTCTTTATTAACGACCACCATTCATTGCAAGCGGTTAATCTTGACTGACTCTTGCCTTCTGTTATGTCGCCCATCACATTGCAACGATATGACTGATTTGACTCGCGGGCCCAAAAAGTGCAACCCACCGCTTTGGCGGAAGCACTGTGTCCGGAAGGCAGTGGTAAACCGTTGTGTAAATGAAGTTCGATGTTAAATTTTTTAACTAAGTAAATATTCAAGCATATAATGCACAGTTATTGCACAGTCTTGAGCCCTCCCACAAGATGGAAGAAGGCAATAAGTGAAGCTCGTTTCATGTATTCTAAAGAGGACAAAGCAAGTGGGCCCGAGCGTGGCACGAGGGCCAGACAAATCCTAAAGTGACCGCCAACAACAACCATGAGATTTTCGACGTTCTGAGCTTTTGTAAACGAGGTTCTTAGAAGACTAATATAGCACTTCGAGACCTACTAGCTAAATGCATGTATTTTCGAAGGGAAAGAAGGGATTAGTCCTTGACTTAGTTCAAAGGTCAGCATACGAGCACGAGGGCAAAATTAATGCCAGTCTTATAGGTGAAGTCGAGTGTTTTTGTTCATGCAGCAACAGAATTGCCCTTCGTTCTTGAATTACTGG